GTCCCAGAAGTGATTAACTTGTAACTTCCCCCTATAATATCTGTACATTATCCAGCCACCTGGTAATGAGAATATTCAAACTTATCAGAAGAAGTTGTTATCTCATAACCTATTTACAAAGAATTAAGGGCAAGTTAAATGGGAGAATTAACAATCAGATATTAGGAGTTTAAGGGTTAAATGTCCAGCTATTAGAAAATAGCTAAGAGGACACAACCAAGTGCCTGAAGGCAAACTGTCCATCGCAATAGCTATAACTTGCCACTTCCCTTCTAGTTGTAATATAACATTTTGGGTACATACAACAATAAAGCAAAGGTAAAAAATGTTTCAGATCAATGCAGATACTTCACTACTTGTCTACTTAAAAAATTATGGTGATTCAGAAAGGAGTAGCTAGCAAAAATACCAACCCTCAATGCATGTGGAGATCACAGACAATATCTTTGAGTCATGTGGTTTCAACAAATATTAACCCTTTAACTCCCAGATCAAATGTGTAATTCCTCTTACTGTTAACCATACAATTCTAAGAATGTTAGATCAGAGAATTTAGCATTGAATCAATTAATTATCCCCAAATTGATATTTTTCTTTATTCTCATTAGTTATCTGGTTGATATTGTACTGATATTGTAAGGGGAAATTCTTTCTTGGTCACTCATGGGAGTTAAAGGGTTAAAGAAAATCCAGCAACAAAAAGGATACTTATTCTCCATCCCTGCATGCAAGAAGAACCAACTTTGTACAATTTGTTTGAACAAGAGGAAGTATCTTTAGTAGTGACAGGTTCTGAGAGAGTCTGACCCATCCTGAAACACAAAATAAATCTTGTTATCATATGACCCCTATTGCCTTGCTTATTCAGTAATTGAGAGCACCAAAAAAAAGCTGACATGCATATGGCCATATGGGTTGACATGAACCAGATCAAAAATTGCCTTACCACCAGCACTACTCTGTTTTTTTTTCCAAGAATGTGAGTTATGTATGTGGAATTTGACTTAAAATAAACAAAAGTGAGGAAATAAGTCTTGCTTTGTAATCAATTTTGAGTTTGTGTTCTGACTCCAAGAAATAACATTTAAGTTTTTCTTTTAAAACCTCTCTTGTTGTTGTTGAGCCTCCTTGTTACGTTTATAATCATACCCCACTTACATGTAAGTTTAAACAAAATATAAGCATTTTAAAGTAATAAAATACTTATTGACTGAGTTTGGTCAAGCCAGACAGGAAAATAGTTGGCTCTCAGTCACGACACAGGGAGCCAGTGTAGCATCAACATAATGACCTTGGGCCATTCCTGCCAATCCTGCTCCTCCACTCAGGCAATAAATACATAATAGCAAGGTTGTTAAGTAGTAACTAAGTGATAAAGATCAAAGAATTCTCTTGCAGCTATATGCAATTCTCTGGATAAAATTTAATGACCAGAATGATTTCAAATTCAGATATGGAGACTCTCCTCTTGATTTAAACAGTACATACTTTTCTGCACCATAGAATTTAACTATGAAAATGTCATGAAAAATTATCACCAGACACTAACCATACAGCTTATATTTAGTAACTCTCACTGTCTTCAAAATCTTTTTCCAATGACATCTTCTTTAACCTTTTAAGCAACTGATGCTTTTTAAGGGAAGGTGACAAATGCTTCATATGTGAAGAGTGATTATGCCCAAAATTAAAATATGACAGGGGGAATTTTACAAAAAGGAAAGTTAAGGTTAGATTTGAAGGTTTCCCTTTTTAATACGTGACATGAGAAGTACTATTTTAAGTATATGATGCATTAATTTGTCTAAAATTTGCTCATGAAATGGAAACAAGATCCACCCTCTGCTACCCTCTTAACCCTTAACACCCAGACGTGATTCATGTGAAACTCCTCCCTATAATATCCATAAATTATCCAGCAAAGAGCAAACAAGAATACTTAAACTTATCAGATAGAAGTTGTTATCTTGATCTAATACCAAATTCACCTAACTTATTTGCCAGGAATTGTGTAAAAGCTGGAGGGAAGAATAAACAATCAGATCTCAGGAGTAAAAGGGTAAAAGGATATAAAAACAAATGAAAGCAAACATTTTCTAATTCCAACAGCTTGCTTCAGTGTTTGGGGAAACCACGAGGCTTACAAAGGCTTTCAAAAGAGGAGAACCTGTCTTAATATGACGTGTTAATATCCCACAGTTTATGCAGTTTTTTCTTTTTTTTTTATTACATGCAGTAAATGGATTTCTAATGGTGGGATTATTTGACTGCTCATGCAAAATTATGCTTCAAAACAACCACCAAACTCAGAGAGAGAAATATCAAAAATGGACTGATCTGCAACTTAAACAGCAATTTCTCGTTAAAAAAGAAAATTTCCTGTACTTCAACTCACACATCGATCTTAATTCAAAACCACTCTGTCTTGATTTCACCACCTTAAATGTACCTGATATATATAAATGGAACTAATAAGTGTTAATTTTCCGCAATTTAATCACACCTTACGGCTGATTTAACAGACACTTCCAACTCACAGCAGATAAAAGATCTGTTACGCCGAACAAATGTAATCCTGGTCGCAGGAAACAGTCAATAACACAACAAACATTTACCAACAAAAAGATATCAAGCGGCTTCATATCATCAATTAATATTAACAATGGCCAAAATTTAATTTTTCCGATCCAAGATGATAATGATTTACGCTCGGTGTACTAAAAATATTCATGCTTTCAATGAGAGAAAATACCGCTAAAAATAGAACCACAGGTACCAAGGTTGCTTTGATATGCAGCACTATGAAAAAGCAAGGTTAGCATCCAGTAGATACGTAAGAACGGTGTTTCTTACAAATTAATATTTTGCTATGTACTATGATACAATGAAAGCATCCTTCATTAAGCCAAGAAACAGCTGTATTGATAAGCTTTAAGTACACCTACTAATGGTCCCACTAAACCATTACAAGGCATAAAATATCATTGCTCAAAACACAGATCTCTCTCGAAAACATTCGAAACCTGTGTCCACATTGCGCGAAGTTACATTCCGCAAAACTCCCCATTTTTCCGAAGGAAAACCAATTATTGCCATATGTTTTGTACAAAACGAAGCAAGGCTATCATGTATTATTCAAAAATTCGTCCACGCAAAGGGAAAATCCTGAATATAAAATGCATTCAGTGCATTCACAACGCGTCCAATTCAAATTGAACTTAGTACAATTGTTGTGTTTCGTGTTTGCGCCAGCGAAAAAATACTGAAAAGTTAGAGAGACTGTCGATTAACCTATTTTCCTATCCTAAAATAATACAAATTCGAAACGATCGTCGAAGACTTTCAATCGTCAACAAGCAAGGCACTGGGCTTGCGAGTGGAAAACGTTTTTTCTTTCGTTTCTGGCAGATCGAGTTTGTGTAAGGCAAAAGTTCAACAACTTGCAGGAAACGGCAAGCTTTATATTTAGAAACATCTATCTTGTAGAATTACTTTGAAGAGAGGAACGAGCACCGGTTCTTGACAACCGAGTGGATGATAGCGTTAAGAGGCAAAAAGGCTTAATTTCTCATCATATTAGCAGATAACGAAAAGGAAAGTGTGCAAGGGGAACAGATACAAGCTTGTCTATATTTAAGTTAACAGTTTATAACAGATAGCGAGTAACTCACCTTAAATTTGACGAGAAATTAGTTTACACCAAACCGCTGATCCAACACAAGTTAGAGATAACTTTTCTAAGAGAAGCTGATAGTGTTAGCGGAGATCAGAGCTAGCGCCTACCAAAGTTTCATGTAAACAGTCGCATCAAAAAATCTTTCCAACTCGACATCTTGAAAGCTCTACTAAGTCACGTGAGAGGGGAGACGGAAATGTGCTTAGAGGGTGTGGGAATTATTGATCACCTTGAAGGAGAGAATGACACAGATTTTACAAATGCAGAAACAATCGATAAACATTGTAAACAGACAAATAAACAAATACTCCAACTAAACAAACTTGTCCATGTAAAGAGAGAGAATATAACTGCGTTTGTAGCTTTGAAAATATCCATGCTGCATGAAAACTTTGCAATTCCCTAAATATTTTTTCTACAAAGCTTTATCACACGTTTGTCTCTGATTTGCTGTTTTTATTTTCCATTTTTTTTTTCGGACAAGCAAGAAAGAAATTCATAAATCATACTGGTCCTACTAGCGAGTCTAATGACAAAATTTGTCATTTCGTTTCAAATCTACAAGTCACGGTCACGTTCGCCATCGTCACGCAATCCTATAGTGACACTTAATGACACAACTATATTTACGTTCTGGCAATTTCTGGCGTTTTACAGAGCGCTGTCACCACGGTTACGAGAGGCAAAATATTAATAAATTCCTCACGATATTTCAAAGTGCTTATCATCCATATGTTTCGGAGACTGAGAGAAAAAAAATACACATGTGTGCACAGCTATCGGTGATCTTGCCATCATAAATATTCCGGTGATGTTTCTATTGGTCAGTACAGAGCACAAAGAAAACATGAACAATTTTGGTTAGGTCAGGGTTAGGCTTCAAACCTTTCATTGGCTTGAATTGAACGATGCGATAAGAAAAAATAGGGATTTTTTTCTCAACCTGGTGAAAGAAAAAACGGCGAGCAGACATTTGAAATAAAAAAAAAATTAAAATACGTATATTTCTACTTGTTTGGGCCGAAGTGGAAAATTTCTAACCAGGCCAGGATTTATTGTAGCAAAAAGGGAAGTGATTGCTCTGACCATGACTCCACATGATGACAATTCCAATTCGGATCTATTATGTTGGAAAAAATGAAATGAAATGACCCTTTTCTATTTCAAGCGCGCTATAAAAAGACATGGGAAAAAGGGAAAACGCAATGAAAGCAATTTTTTCGTGTTGAATCAGCGAAAAGTCAACACGAAGTCGAGGCTTGGCGCGAGCGGAAGCCGTGATCCTCGTGTACCACGCATGTGCCCGATCACTGTAGCTCAAGTATCTGATGGATGCGGAGCTAACAGGGAAGAAAGAGAGCCGGGATGCGGACCAAGATAGGTTCCGGCGACGCTCTAAAACAACTCCGCCAGCTTCAAATCAATTTGCTATGTCTAATTCGTTAGACAGCAGGGTTGGGAGCTTTGAAGAAGCAGACTCTGGCGATAAATCGTGCACGCCAACGACTGATGAACTACAGCAATCGGGCAATAGACAACAATATGACGTGCCGGCCAGTTTCCGTTTTGTGTATCTTGGAAGTTCGGTCCTTGACAAGCGCTACACTCAGCATATGCTACCGTGGGTCATTGCTGAGATCCGGCGGAAAAACGAGCGAAATCAGATTGATTTAAATGTCAAAGAGATGACAGTAGAGGCAGTCGACTGCTCCGCAGCAAGTACTTTATTTCAACATAAGGTGCAGACCATAACACGCTGCGCGCGTTCTGTGGACAAGAAGTGTTTTGCCTACCTGACTAAAATACCCGATGATGTATCTTCCTGTCACTGCTACGTGTTTGAAGCCGTCGAAATAAGCTCGGTAAGGGTTATCTTCTGTGATTTCATCAGCAGGTTGCTTTGCAGTGTCTCTGATTTGATAAGGCCCCTTACCTGTGTCTCTAAACCCGAAACTATGAATGCTCTCCGGTCAATCAGTGATTACACAATTTATTTGCATCTAAAAATATACTCTTTTAGGTTTTGCAAAGAATTGTGCTTCGTAGCGCTGAATAATTTGCGTGCTTTCTGATGCAGTGTCCACTGGAGTCGTTTTCCTTTGAAATCTTCTTTCTTTCAAACCTAAGCTTACTCCAGGCTAGTTTAGCCCACGAAACATTTCCCTGTTTTTTTTAGGGGAAACCCGATATACCTCTCAACAGATTTTAGCTCGTTGTATTTATTTTGGCGGAGAAAGGTTTCGAAGCTTGAGTTTTCAATTCCTCTCAACGATAAAAGGAGCCATATTTTTTATCTTGATGGCGCACATGTTCAAGGTTGCTTTCAAACTGATATCCGAATCGTAATTTCTGGGAAAAAAAAAAAGAAAAAAATTGGCGTACTTTTGATATCCACGATGTTGGTAGGATCTTTCAGGGTTGCATTTTCATTTGTAACATTAAATAATTGTTGTTGTTATTGTGATCATTTTTTATGCCTGAGCATGCCTCGTTAGTTATTGTTCGAAATCGTGTTTACGTCCATTAATTTCATGGAAATATTTTTTTCTCTTTATGAATACCTAATCAAGGTCCTTTATTAGATTCACTGAAATTTTAAGCTTCGGTGTCCTTCCGGATCAAAAGTTATAAAGACTTCCTTCATGGATAATTTCTTCTAGTGTTTGTTTTTCGCATGTGACGGAGTGTTTGAAAAGTAGAACCTTTCACAAAATGCTATCACGTACATTGAATAACTTGTTTTGAAGTTCAAGGTAATATTAACATGTTAATAATTGTTATGCAAAACAGTTTTGTCACACAATATCTTGTTTCATTGAAATCAATGTCACAGTGGAATTATTGGTCTTTTTTCAGGTTTAGCATGAAAAACAGTGTTTTTTTAAATAGAATTCGGAGTCTTATCTTTCAGATCTTTAAGAGATCTTCAAATTGTCCTGAAAGGATTAAGTAGTCTAAAAATAGAGCTCATTGTTTGCCAATATATTTAAATGCCCTTTTGTAAAGAGATTAAAATTAATAATGAAAGTTATTATTTTTTTTAACTTTGATAAAGAGTTAAATAGTTTGTTTAAGGTAATTTGTATAGTATTTTTCCGTGCACTCTGTAGCCAGAAGTTGAAATGAACATTAGCATTGTCTGTTATTATGAAATCAGTGCTGCCATTATACAGATGTTGTAGGTGTTTTTGACAATAGATTGTACCAGCTAATGTAGCTGGTAGTATTTTTTGAAATAAATCAGGAAAAAATTTGTCGCAAGGCACCTGTATAAAGAGAATGTTAAATATTCCGTGTACATGTTTGTTAAATTAAATGCGCCATGTCAGATAACTTCAATAGGTTACTTGGCAGTGGGCATACCTGGTTATGAATGGTTAGCTGTATTTATTTAGAACTACAATTGAACAGTGAGTGGAAATTTAAAGGTTTGAGTTCTGTTCAAGGATGTAAATTTAAAACATAACCCGCAGATGTAAACCTGCTCAAAATAAAAACCCAATATTGTTCATATTTATATATTAATAGGAGTGGATTTTGTTGGAAAATGATGCAAGTGATCACTGTTTCAGAATTGTCCAAAAGAAAGCGCAGTTTGGAATTCTTGAGACATCACTATGAAAAAATATTTCAAAAGTTTATACAATTTTGTTGTAAATTTTTCCTTTGCAAATTCAGTACTAGCAGGAAGTTTTGAACAAGCAGTCCAGCTTTCTTCTTAAGTGTAAATCTTTTAAAGCTGAAATTTAGTGACAAGGAAGTTATAGGTTTAGTTGAAGTGTCCATTTGTGAAAGAACAAGAATTAATATTATCACTTTAATATAGCTTTAAATATGATTAAGTTTAGTTTTGGAAGGTCACTGATATTTGTCACTGAGATTCTAAGCTTTGTTTGTCCTTTTTTCTCCCAGATTACTGGGTTTTTTCACAGTATTCGTGATGCTGCTAGGCAAGTAGCTGAGCAACCAGAAAGTAATGTAACCACAGATAAGGAAAATTCATCCAATGAACCAGCTAATCCCAACAGCAATGGCAGTCCAACTAATTCTACTGAAAATACTGAGGCACAAGCAGTCATTTTTCCACTGTGGTATGTTGGCCGAGTTATGGTATCTCACAGACAAGCTCCCCCAAATCTTGTAGATGATTTGGTGGACAGGTTTGATAAAACAAAAGGAATGACTGAGTTGGAAAAGCAGCTGAGTGTACAAAAATCAGAGGAAAGAGAAGGATTTTCTAATACAGTCAGTGTTAATGCCAGTGTTGAAAATCATTCTAAGGAACATCCAGCATTGAGTAAAGCAAAAAGCTTGGATCAAGAGAGAATACTTGGTGGAAAAAGCAGCTGTGAGGACAAGGCACCAGAGGGTAGCAAGCATCCACCTCTAATTAAGATGAACAGTTTGAATGGAAGACCTCGCTCTGCCAGTGATGGCGATAAGACAAAGAACAGTTACCCTACCAGGAGTCAGGATTCCCCTCAGAACCAACATCACGCAAAAACACACTCAAGGAAAACTAGTTTCAGTGGTGTTGGTGAAAACAGAAACATTCTTTTCAAAATCAGCATCCACTCAATTGCATGTCTCAGTGCAGCCTCTAGGGTACTGCTGATGGAGAGAAGACTAAGAGAAGTTTCCTTTTGTCAACAGGTAGGTGAAAATTGTGGTCAAGTAATACTAATAATTGTATGAATTTAGACCTTTTCCATTGTTGATGGTTTAAAAAAGAAACGTGTACCTTTTCTACTCTGTTGCACTGCAACTAAGGTCCAGTTCCGACATTGTACTTCTGCTGTGCCACACTTAATTACAATTTGGTTCAACTATAGCACAGCAGAGGCATGACTCTGATTCAGACATTAGGCTAATGTTGTGTGAAATTTAGCATTTACTGAAGCACCCTCAGCGCATACTCCATAAAGGAGAGTTATTCTTATGACTCCTTGCAGCGACTTAATTCAGCCGAAGTACATTAGTATAATTTATAAATTTTGTTTGGCATAGCAAGGGTACAATGTCTGAATCACTTTCATGCTACAGTCATGTAGCATGGCAGAGCTTGTTGAACTTAATTGCTTTGCAAACTCAATTAAAAAGTTTGATTCACATGCCAGGCTTCTGCTGTGCATTTGTTGAACTTGATTCCTGAGTCCAGTTTGACCCAAACTAACTCATTTTTGGTGTATGCAATCTTCTAACCATCCCAAGAAATTATTTGAAAAAAGCCCTTCATTTTTGGTTAATTCTTCACATTTTGACATCAATCTGAAGTGGGGCCCTTTCTGTCCCACAGTCAAGCATTTTGAAACCACAGATAGAATTACAAAAGACATTTACATTTCAAAGATTATGACTACATAGGGACTTCTGGGTAGACTAGTTTTGTTTGTGGGCCTTTGTTAACCTAGAAGCCATGGATTTAGATTGACTGCTCACTTGTAAGTTTGAATCTCCTTCAATGACATCAATTGTAAAGTGGAACTTGTTTTCTGTAGCTTGATCATGGCTGAGAGAAGCATGAATTTTTGAAACTTTGCCAAGCTATTTCTTATGTTCTATTTCAACTTAGGGAACAAAGTCACCAGAACATTTTGGCTTTATCTGCCATGAGCTCAAAACCGGGCAGTATTACTGTTATGTGTTCAAGGGGCGTTCTGAACAACTGGTAAGTTTCATGGTGAATGCGGTAACACATCCCATTTTGCTTATATATTCAGGCTTAATCAAATTTCCATCTACTTTTTTTAGTGCAAAATTACCTACCCTGTAACTAATGCTTTTTAGTGCTCAGCAAGAAACTTGAATTCATAGCCAGTCAGAGGGAAACTGTCTAGGTTATATAGAGAACTACACTTTATATGTAAAGACCTTTATAAAGTGCATGCTATCCCTTTGCTGTAAATGAGTTCAGTATCTTATACGTCCTGATAAAACACCATTATTATTTGTATTAATAAAATTTTATTGCAATGTCATGTTCATTATTACTATGGGTACTTTTATTAGTATTGTTATTTGTTATAAGCAATAACAATTCAAATTCAAGATATTTATGTTAATAAAATATAACCTGAAACAATGTTTTAAGGTGGATGAAGTAATGCAATCTTTAAGACAAGCATTCAACAGTGCATGGCAAGCAGCAGGCCCTACTTCAGTCTGTGATATGTGTCCTCTTCATCAACTTCATCAGTTGTGTGTTCAACTTGAAGGTGAGTTGGTGTGCCCATCCTGACTACTCGGGATTGCCAGCTTTGATCACACAAGAAAAAGAATTGCTCGGAGTGGGCTTCTTAAATAATAATAATACTAAATAATAATAAACTAAATAACAAAGTGAAATAAGGGCTTGAAAGAAATTTTAATTCTAATTTAAGTAAAATCTTTTGCTAAAATAACGAATCCTTAATTGACCAGCTTGTTCAATCAGGATTGCTGGATGTAAGCCTTGTTCTCTGTTTTTTTTTTTTTTTTGCATTTCTTTGGTCTTCAACTTCGTCTTGGCCTTTAAAAATGCAAACAACAGAACTCTGCCAACATCCAGCCATCTTGACATCACACTTGGTCATGAAAGCTTACATCTAAAACAAAACCATGATCTGGACTTTCTGCAGTCAAGCATCAACCACAGGCCACCAGGTCTCCTGGAAAACCCAGTACAGTCAGTTACTGTCAAAACCAATAGTAAGCACAGGAGGCTGGATCCTCTGTGGCTTTGAGTAATTCTTTTGTGTGTTGTTTGTAGGGCGTGGTCCAAGAAATCAATATGATATACTACAAAAACACAGAATTAATCTCAGTGATGATGAGATGAGCCAATTTACAGAACAATTTAAGGTGAGTATGTTTGGTCATAATATACAACAGAGATGGTAAACCAATTTAAAACCATTCAGTGAAATCATTGCTCACAAGCTGTGAAACGTTGTTGCCAGTAAATTAAGTTGTAATTGGTGGGTTGTACATGTACCTCTGCAGATTTTTTTCAGTTATTATTATCAGGTTATTTGAAGAACAATTCTGTAGTTCCTGGTATTAAATGTGTTGTGTATATAGCACAGTTTTTTTTGTATTCTTTCATAAAATGTTGCCTGTTTGTCACAAATTACATCTGTACACGGCCTGCTTCACTGTCAACTGGAGTGGTTTGAGATAAAATGTCATCCAAGTTTCTTAATTCACATCGTTTCCTCAAAATCATCGAGGATGGTTTTGTAGACATGACTATTTTTGCTGAACAGTTTTCCTACCTCTTAGGCTGAAAGTCCATCAACAATGAATGAAGAAATTGAAGTGATCATGGCCATATTCAGAGCAATGTATGAAAAAAGGCAACTGCAGCACACACACATTGGCCAGGTAACAGAAAAGCAAAAAACTGCTGATGAAAATTCCCAAGTGCTACATCAAACCATTCAGTTTACTCGTTCGTGTCTGAAGCGGATATAGTCATTGCCGATGTTTACTTTGCTTTATTCTTTTTTAGCTTCTCTTTGATGTTCACCAATGTTCACCAGTGTTTTTTTACTAAATGTTGTTTACTTTTCTGTATGTTTAACTTCTAATAAGTTGTATTGGATTGAGGACCAACTTGCCGATGTCTCTACTCGATTTTATACGTCGGCGAGCTGGCATGGGGGAGTTGGACTGTTGGCGAGTTGACCGTAATTCAATCATCTCACAGCTGGAGCTTGGGCTGCCACCGATCTTTTACTTTCTTTATTGTTTCTAAACAATAGAATCAGTGTATAATACGCACCGCGATTTGATGGTTATTTTTATAGAAAAAAAGTGCGCATTATACACAGGTAAATACGTTAAATTTTATCTTTGTAATGTTTTTTCAGGGACAGCCATACCAAAAGGACAAAGGGCCAGTAAGCCCTAATTTGTTGCAAAAAGCCAAGAAGTCTCTAACTAGTTCTTTTGAAAGTTTCATGAGTAAGAGGGTAAGAACAACACATCTAATATTATTTCTTAGGAGAATGGTTAATTTAAC